AAACTACATGATATTGGTCTGGGCAATGATTTTTTATTTTTCAGATTTGATCTTAGAATCTCCCAAAGAAATGATAATTTTTTCTCTTATAAAAAGTTAAGCCAATAAAATATTTTAATGAAAAAAAAAGAAGCACAGGCAATGAATTTAGAAACAATAAATGGGATTGCATCAAGCTAAAAAGCTCTGGACCACAAAGGAAATGACAGGATGAAGAAACAACCTATGGATTTGGAGAAAATATCTACAAACTGTATATCCAATTAGGGATTAATAGCCAAAACACATAAAGAACTCAAACAACGAAAAATCAAGGAAGCAAATAAGCTGATTTAAAAATAGACAAAAGATTAGGAAGGGAGGTGGAGAAGTTCATAGAATTAGACAAAGGGTAATGAAGGGAAGGGAGAGGTGATGGGAATAGGAAAGACAGTGGAATGAATCAGAACTTTCCATGCTCATATATGATACATGACCTGTGTAACTCCACATCATGTTCAACTGCAAGAATGGAATCAAAATCGTAACAGGTTGTAGCCCATGTGTGTATAACATGTCAAAATACACCCTAATGTCATGTGTATCTAAAAACAACAAACAAACAAAAGGACAAAAGATCTGAACAGACATTTCTCAAAAGCATTAAAAATGGTCAACAGATACATGGAAAAATGCTCTGCATCACTCAATGTTAGTGAAATGAAATTTAGAATCACGATGAGATATCACCTCACATCTGCCAGTTGTGTATCAAAAAGATGGAAGATAACACTGCTGGTGAGAATATAAATTGGTAAAACCATTACGAAAAACTACAGTGATTCCTCCAAAACTCAAAATAGCACTACCAAGTGACTTATTCTGCAATCCCACTTCTGGGTCTCTATCCAAAGAAATTGCTATCAGTATGTTGAAGAGATATCTGCACTCCTACTATGTTCATTGCAGCATTACCAACAATAGCCAAGATATGGAATCGACCTTGGTGTCCATCAACCAATGAACGGATAAAGAAAATGTGGTATGTAAACACAATGAAATACTAGTCAGCTTTTGAAAAGAAGAAAATTCTGTCATTTGCTACAACCTGCATAACCTGGAAGACACTGTGCCAAATGAAATAAGCTAAACACAGAAAGACTTGTTTTGCATGACCTCACTTTTAGGTGGAATCTAACACAGTTGAATTTGTAGAACCAGAAAGTAGCATGGTGGTTACCAGCAGCTGGAAAGGAGGGAGGATGGGAAGTTGTTGGTCAAAGGGTACAAAGTTTGTTACCAGGAGATCTATTGAGATTGTGTAACACAATGATTACAGTTAATAATGAGGTTCCCATATATCTCAAAATTGCTGAGAGACTAAATTTCAAAAGTTTTCACTATAAAAAAAAATATGTGAGATAATGGATAGTTCAATTAGCTTGATTTATTTTTTTTAATTTTTTATTGTTGGTTGTTCAAAACATTACATAGTTCTTGATATATCATATTTCACACTTTGATTCAAGTGGGTTATGAACTCCCATTTTTACCCCATATACAGATTGCAGAATCACATCAGTTACACATCCATTGATTTACATATTGCCATACTAGTGTCTGTTGTATTCTGCTGCCTTTCCTATCCTCTACTATCCCCCCTCCCCTCCCCTCCCCTCCCCTCTTCTCTCTCTACCCCCTCTACTGTCATTCATTTCTCCCCCTTGTATTATTTTTCCCTTTCCCCTCACTTCCTCTTGTATGTACTTTTGTATAACCCTGAGGGTCTCCTTCCATTTCCATGCAATTTCCCTTCTCTCTCCCTTTCCCTCCCACCTCTCATCCCTGTTTAATGTTAATCTTCTTCTCATGTTCTTCGTCCCTACTCTGTTCTTGGTTACTCTCCTTATATCAAAGAAGACATTTGGCATTTGTTTTTTAGGGATTGGCTAGCTTCACTTAGCATAATCTGCTCTAATGCCATCCATTTCCCTGCAAATTCTATGATTTTGTCATTTTTTAATGCAGAGTAATACTCCATTGTGTATAAATGCCACATTTTTTTTATCCATTCATCTATTGAAGGGCATCTAGGTTGGTTCCACAGTCTAGCTATTGTGAATTGTGCTGCTATGAACATCGATGTAGCAGTGTCCCTATAGCATGCTCTTTTTAGGTCTTTAGGGAATAGACTGAGAAGGGGAATAGCTGGGTCAAATGGTGGTTCCATTCCCAGCTTTCCAAGAAATCTCCATACTGCTTTCCAAATTGGCTGCACCAATTTGCAGTCCCACCAGCAATGTACAAGATTTATTTACTCTACATTTTGCACGTATACCACAACTTCACATTGTATCATAATATATATAATTATAATTTATCAATCAATAATTAAAAGTAAGCCAGACATGGTAGCCTACTAATATTCCAACTACTGGAGAGGCTGAGGCAGGAGGATAGCAAGTTCCAGGACAGCCTTAGCAACTTAGCAAGACCCTGTCTCAAAAATTTTTTTTAAATGTCCAGGAAGGAATGTAACTCAGTGACAGAGAGCTTGCCTTGCATGTGCAAGGCCCTTGATTTGATACCTAAAATTGAAAAACAAGAAAAAGTAAAAAATTAAAATTAGAAATAATTTTTACAAAGAATCTGAGTGTTGTGGTTTGGGTGTGATTTGTCCCCTCAAGATCCCATGGTGGGGGCGCTTGGCCCTCAGTGTGATGCTGTTGGGGCAACGGGACATCAAGAGGTGAGGTCCAGTGGAAGTTTCTTCAGCAGTTGGGGTGTGCCCTCAGACAGTTTAATGTAGCTCTTGTGGGATGCCATTTAGTCTCTAGTCACCCCGGGCTTCCTGTCTTGCCATGCCATCTCTCCCTTCCGTGTGCTCTCACCATTGTGACACCTCCACCATGAGGTTCTCACCAGAGACAAGCTGATGCCCGTGATGTGCCCTTCAGCCTCCAACACTGTGAGCAAAATAACCCTCTTTTTTTATGAAGTCACCCAGTCTCAGGTATTTCAGGCTACCATCAACTTGTGTAGTCATGGACTACCCCCGGATCAGTGGGGAGCATTCCCATCCCCACTGCACACTCCAGCCGACCCCCTGATCTAGACCCTGGGGCCGGAATCTGCCCTGCAGAGTTCCTCAGGATTAAGCTTGGAATCCCATAACCTCTGCCTCAAGGTGGCATTGGTCAGAGAAGGCTGGACAAAGATAGAACTCTGAGCATGGACTGTAGCTAGGGCCCCTGGGGTCAAATCCTGACTCTTGTACTTAGTTGTGTGACTTAAGCAAGTCATTTAACTTTTGTGAGCCACAGAATCCTGAACTGCTAAATGGAAGGAACAATAATCATCAACTTCCTTTGTTAAATACGCTTAAAATACATCAGAGCCTATCCTGTGTTTTTTCCACATATTTCCTGTGTAGTCTTTACAGCAATCCAAAGAGACTGTAGGTGCTACAGTGACCCTAGAACTCCAGGTCACATAGTAAAGTGCGAGACCTGGATTCAAACCCAGAGCTCTTGCTTTTGACTCTTATGCTGTCCCCACAGGATTCTTACAGGATCAAATAGGTCAGTACACACTCAACAGCAAGCAGGTACCTGGTAAGGACTTCAGCTCTCTCAAGAGGTGACAGGCGCTGTGCTCAGTGCTTTATATTCTGCTGGGAGACCAGAGTAGAGCAGGAACTGAAGGTGGGAAGGAAGAAAGCAGGTAAAAGAGGTGACCCAGCTAATGAAGGTGCCTTATCAGGAAAGCCCTGGGAGATAACACCAAATTAATGGCATCTCCAGGCTGTTTTTCTGCCTGTCCAAAAGGATGAAGTTGAGAGGGGATGGTAGTCCTACTTGGTTCAAGAACTGCCCCAAGCCCGTGCCTGAGGATAGGACAGGTGGATCCAGAGGTGAAGACAGGTAGGAGAAGGATCCAGGAAGTTCTCTTGACACTCAAGAATGAAAAGGCAGGCCCTACCTAGTATCAGTAACAAACAACCAGGTTCAGCCTCAGAGGCCCAAGCTTCGAGAGAGATCTTGGAAGCCCTCTGGAGCACACCCAGCCTGCCCATCCCACCCCCAGCCTGGCTACCAGTTGGCATCCTTCTTTGCCAACATAGGTCATGATTCCTTGAATAAACAGCAGCCAGGGCTCTGGAAGGCCAGCCAAGACCCTTCCCTGGAAAATCTCATCACTGTTCTCTGGCTTGGCATGACCTGACCCATGCCAGGCAAGGATTGGGCCATGTTTTCCTGGAGATGAGATTCCAAAGAGCACTGATTAATTACATACCTGGTGTTTTCAGAAACCCTGAACAACCCTCTGGTTCCAGGTTCTGTGGTCAGCAGACTTGGGACAGTGCAACTCAGAGTAGCACATCAATATTTGTGTCATCTCAGAGGAGTCATGGTCATTCATGGAAGGCTCCAGCCACAAGTTCCTACCAGGATTTGGGGTGACCCTCTGAAAGACCAGCAAATCATTCTCTAGTGAGACCCAGATGCAATAGTGTCTGACTCAGTCCTTGAAAAGGACATCTGGGGCAGATATAGCTCTGCCTGAGGGGACAGCTGGGTTTTGTGGTAAACTGGGAGCAAGTCTCACTCACTGAAGGTCACCAGCCAGCGCCTGGTGGGCATAGACCAGTGACTTAAGGAACACGTGGTAGATGACCAAAGGCATTTGTGAAGAATGTTCTTATATTTTAAAAGAAAATATTTTTCTATTTTAAGAAGCTGAGACGTTACAATCAAAGAAAAGTTCTTGTCTGGCACAGTTCCTGCAGGATCCAGTATTAAAATAATAATTTTAGCAAGATTCTCTTGATTGATGCCTTAAGATGTGTCATCTCCTATGCTGGGCCCTCAGTATCCTCCAGCTCTCCTGTTTACTCCATGAGGCAGGGACTCTCATAGTTCTGAGTGATGTGAGTGAATGCTCTCAGAGAAGAAAAGTAACAAGGCCAAAAACTCACACTGGCAGAGAAAGAGCCAGAATCCAACTCCATTTTTTTAAGCTTCATGTTTGGAAATAATTTTATTTGGAAATAAAAAGTTGCAAGAACAAAAATAGTACAAACACCCATATGCCCTTCCTCTTGTCCCATAAACACTCCCCTCCCAACACACACACATGTGTGCATATATATTTGCATCTTTTCATAATATGTTGAATAAATTTACATCATACTCCTTTACCCTTAAATAACTCAGTAAATAGCTCCCAAATTTTTAAGATATTATTTTTTCAGTAAAGCTACCAATTTCAGGAAATTTGTCATGAATCTAATATACTATCCATATTCCAATTTTGTCAATTGTCTCAATAATGTCTCCATAGCACAACTCATGCTTCCTCTGTAAAGGGCTTAGGTTCTGCATTTAATAAGTCACCAAGGGTGATTTGCTGGACTTTCAGTGGATCTTCCCAATCCCTGGGAGGAGCTTCTTGACAAAGCCCTTTAAAAGGACCACCTCCTTCTCAGAAATCACAGCATCACAGATGTTGTGTCTCTTTAGTCTCCTCTAATAGGGTAACATATTATTTTCTTTTATGATACTAACATTCTTTGTAGAGGAAGGAAAATTTTATTTTGAACTCATGCTTTCAGAGATTTAGTTCATAGTCAGCTGACTACACTGATCTGGGCCAAAGGTGGGCAGAACATTATGGCAGAAGGGCATGGTAGAGGATCTCTGCTCAGTTCATGGCAGCCAGGAAGCAGAGAGAGAGAGAGTGAGGAGCCATATTCAAGATATAATGCTCCCAGTGACCCACTTCCTCCAGGTATGCCTACAGTTGCCACCCAGAAGTCCATTCAAATAATAAATCCATAAAGTGGATTAATCCACTGATGAGGTTACATGTCTCATAATCTAATCATTTACCTTCTGAAAATTTTTTCATTATCTAACACATGAGCTTTTGGGGGAACACCTCACATTCAAACCATAGCATTCCACCCTGGTCCCCAAAAACACATGCCCATCTTACGACACAAAAGGCATTCCATCTCCAAGAATCACCATAGTCTTAACAATCCCACTATTGCTCAAGTTTAAGTCCAAAGTATCATTTGAGGCTCAAGACAAACCCTTGGCTGTGAACCCCTGTAAAAATTAAAAGCAAGCTCCAATATACAATGGCAAAGAGTAAACATTCCCATTTCAAAAGGGTGGAATATGGACAGAGATAGAAGGGGTAGGACTAAAACAAGACCGAAACCCAGGTGGGCAAACAAATGCAGTAGAATCACACCCAGCATCTGCAAAACATGGTGGTGAAATGCAATCCCCAAAGGACATATGCAGCCCTGGTCTGATGGCCTTTCCAGCTGCATCCCACATGGCCTCTCTCTGGGCCTGGCTCTACTCCCCTGCTGCAGCTTTCTTCAGCAGATGTCCCACCTTCCTGGCATCTCTTAAGCCCTGTGGTCTCCATTTCAGCTTTGGCTTCATTCTCACAGCTTCATGCATTGCTCCCTTGGGGGCCTCATGCAGGTACTACAACCCTCATGCACACTACCTGACCTTCTAGGCCTTCCTTTGGAATATTGGAGAGAGCTTCCATAACCCCATAACTCCAGCATCCTGCATTCCTGCAGAACCAGTGTCCTGTGAACAATGTCAAGGTCAGCCACCAAACTGAACACTAGACACACTACCTTTGACCATAGCTGCAACAGCCTCTGAGTGCCCAGGAAACTAAGCATCATGAGACAAATATTGGAAAACAACCTCCTGGGCACCTCTGTGCAAGCAGGGTACCCCCATTGTCTCTCCTCAAATGAATTTTCACATTTACACCCTTGAGCCTGCAATGGTATGATCTTACTTATTCTAGAGATTCCTTCAAGACAACTTTCCTATTGTCTCTGGGCAAAATGCTTAGCTTCTCTTTAATGGTGGTAATCTCTTTAGCAACAACATCCCTGGCCCCAGTTTTACATGCATTTTTCTGACCAAACTTTGAGTTTTTAAATCTTTCTTTTCTGCTTTCTGCTCCCAATTGCAACAGTAAATCTGTCTAAAAGCTGATAGCTACTTCCATGCCATTGCCTGAGTGCTATTCTGCCTTGAATTTGTCTTTACCAGATTAATCCATTACCTTTAAACTTGGCCTCAACAAAGTCTCAGAACATGGACAAAATGTAGACAAGTTCTTTGCCAGAATGTATCAAAATGGCCTCTTGTTCAATTCCCAACAAAGTCCCCATTCCCCAGTGAAATCTCATGAGCACAGTCTTTACCGTTCACAATCATATCAGCATTCTGGTCTTCTGAGCTTACACCAGAATCTCCCATTAAGCTCTGCATACAGCATTCTAAGTCTTCTCTAGCCTGCATCTCCAAATTGTTCCAAACTCTTCCTGCAAACCTGTACTAACGTCTTTTGAACCACATGGTCAGATATTGTCACAGCTACAAACCCGTGTCTTAGAACCAATTTCTGTGTTGGTCAGTTTTTCATTGATGTGACCAAAATATCTATCAAGAACAACTTAGAGGAGCAAAAGTTTACTTTGGGCTCATAGTTTCAGAGGTTCAGTCCATGGTCAACCAACTCCATTGTTCTGGGCCCCAGGCGAGGCAGAACATGGTGGGAAGGCATGAGAAATAAAGCTGCTCAGCTCATGGAAGCCAGGAATCAGATAGTGACGTGTGTTGTGTGTGTGTGTGTGTGTGTGTGTGTGTGTGGTGCTGGGGACTGAACCCAGGGCCTCGTGCATGCAAGGGAAGCATTACCAACTGAGCTACATCCCCAGTCCACTAGGGACATTTTTAAAGAACACAATTTCTATTTTCATTAAATGGTGCCAACATACATTTGGAGAGAGATATATTTGAACTCTACTTCACGCCATATTTGAAAATCGAGTCTAGATAAATTGAAATTTAAATCTATAATGCCTTTAAAAGAAAATATAAGAGAATCCTTCTCAATATTAAAGTAGGCAAATATTTCTTAAATAGGACAAAAGTAGCATTAACTATAAAAGAAAATGGATGAATTAGACTTCAATGAAGTTATGAACTATTTTTATCAAAATATTCCAGTAAGAGAGTGAAAAGATAAGCCACAAACTTAGAGAAGGTATTTTGCTTTCCACATACATTCTCACATACACAATGATATTCATAACACCGTTTTGGTCAATGGTAGATCATATATACAGTAGTGGTCCCATAAGATTGTATTGCCTAGGACATCACAGCTACCTACATTTGCATTAGGTATACTCTTATGTTCACATAACAATGAAGTCACTAACAACATATTTCACAGAATGTTCCCCTTTCATGAGTGATGCCTATACCTCTATCTGGAAAAGTGTTGTTAAAGAACACCTCCAATGGACAAGGGAAATTAGTAAAAGGTAACCAACCTCATTCGTCATCAAATAAACACAATCTGAAACTTTCATGTGATATCACTACACACCAAAATGGCTAAATTGAAAATATGGCAGCATTAATTATCAGCAAGACTGTGAAGCAATTATATCTCTCTCACCCTTTTGTTAGATGCATAAATCCGTTTAATCATTTTGAAGAACCGGCAGCATTTACTAAAGCAAACTATACAACCTAAAAATTTTATTTTGGTTATCTGTTGCTATATAACAATGATTCCAAACTTCAGCAGCTTAAAGAACAATTTTGCTATTACTCATAATTTTTAGGTCAGGAATTTGGTACTGAGTGATTCTTCTAGACCACATGATATCAACCGGGACCACTCAAAAGTACTCAGTGGGGCTGTCAGGTCTGACTTCTCCAAGATGACTTCACTCCTCTGTGGCACGTTGGCAGGAACCTGGAAGGTAAGACTCAGCTGCTCTCCTCTCCCTCTTTGTGGTGTCCCCACATAGTCCTTCTAACAGAACCATTACATGAGTCACCTGGGATCAAAAGAAAGAGTTTCGAGAGACCAAATCAGAAGCTTCAAGATTCTTATTAAGTAGCCTTTGAAATCCCAGAACATTACTCCTTCCACATTTGGGGGTGGGGGGAGTACTGGGAATTGAACCCAGGGGTGCTTTACCACTGAGTCACATCCCCAGCTCTTTTTGGTTTTTATTTTGAGACAGAGTCTCACTAAGTTCCTTAGGACTTTGCTAAGTAGCTGAGGCTGGCCTCAGACTTGTGATCTTCCTGCCTCAGCCTCCCAAGTCAATGGAATTACAGGCCACTGTGTCTAGCATCCCACATTTTATTGATCAAAAAAGTTGCTGGGACACACCAAGATTTGTAAGGAGAGAAGAACAGACTCCATCTCTTGAGGAGGGTGTGACGTACGGACAGATAGAGAAGGAATAGAGGGCAGACATGTTGGGGAACAGGGACTATGGCACGGGACTCTGGCTGGACACTCACAATACTCCATCCTTCTGGACCTCATGATTAGTCCCAGGATGGGAAATCATGCCCGGAGTACTCTGTGGGACTTACATGAGCTAAGAAAATAAGAATTTCTCTCCTTCTGCAAACAAACAACCAGTTAGAACCAAATAACTCAGAGACATTGTGGCCACCTTTGTTCCTACTGTAGACAATAAAGTAGGAAAGTAGAAGACAGCCCAACTAAGAATCTAAAACAAGAAAGGGAGAGAGCCCAGTATGGTGGTGCACAGCTGCAATCCCATCGACTTGGGAGGCTGAGACAAACATCACAAGTTAGAGGCCAGCCTCAGCAACTTAGGCTCTAAACAACTTAGTGACACCTTGTCTCTGAATAAAATATATATATATATATATATATATATATATATATATATATATATATACATATATAAACAAACAAATAGATAAATAAATGGCAGAGGATACAGCTCAGTGGTAAAGTGAGTTAAATCCCCAGTTCCAAAAACAGACAAAGAAAAGAAAGGGAGACCTCTAATGAGGAATTTGAGACCCCTGTATCCAGCCATGCCTGAAGTTCTTTCCACTTTGAGGGACTCTTATTCATAAAACCCAATCAACATTCTTTCTTTCAAATAATTTGAGTTTGCTGTCTGTTCCCTGCAATCAAACTAATGGATACAAGTGTGGGTCAGGGAGAGAGAGCTAGACTAGTGGGTTGAATGGGGGTGTTAGATTTGAATCTGCAGGCAGATCACCTCACCTCCGTGCACCTCATTTTCCTCATCTGAAGAAGGGTGACCACAGCACTTCATTCACAGGAGCTCTGTGAATACCAAGAGAGGTCACCCGCGGGGACCCTTGGAGATGTCACACGTCTGTCTCTCCCACCAAACTGAGGCCCCCTGGAGGGCAGGGCTCCCCTGCTTTATCCCCAGCTGCAGCCGCATGTCGGGTTTTCCACAGGTGTCCGTGGCTTGGCTCTTTATTAAGGGCACCTGTGACTTCTCTGCCAGCTGCCGCAGGGTGACCACAAACACTGTCGCAACCCCAGCCACATTTTGATATTAAAAAATAAAACTTCAGAAGAAAGTTGATTTGTACATTGCTGTGTTTACTTAAATTTCTTGAACAGCCTCCCATTGGCTAACGACTGGGGGGTGGGGACCACCGAACGGTAAAGGCCACTGTCCCCCCTCTAACCATTAACCAGCAGGGAAACTGGCAAACAAGATTTAGAGGACCGAGCGGGCAGCTTCCCACCAGCTTACTGTACACGTGCTGGGGTCCCCAGCAGCAGGCGCGAGCGAGCAAGCACAGCCCGAGCCCAGAGCCAACTGTGAGTGACTGCCCAGAACGCTCCATCCTCCTGCCCCGGCCCTCCTCTAGCACTAAGCAATGTTTGCAGTTTGCTTGCTTGTTTTGATTTTTTTTCAACAGGGCATTGAACACTAGGGCAGCCAGCAATGGTAAGAGGCAGCCCCGCGGAGGACTTCCCAGCTCCCAGGTCTATGGGTTGCCCACGGGGCTCTTAACATCCCTGGGCTCTTGCCTTGCAGGGGGCTGTCGCTGAAGCTGTGCTAAGCTGCGTCCCCACCCATCCCAGCTGAGGCTCCCACATCTGGCAGGAGAAGAGATGGGGGTCTGGGGATGGGGATGGCTGAGTGCCAGGCAGAGCCCTGATGGGAGATGCCAGCCTGGGAGGGAGCCAGGGAGGGGTGCGTGGCCGGCACAGTCAGGGGCATTCTACAGAGTCCCACACCCCCTCCCCAGTCCTCCCTCAGTGACCCGGGGAACATCTGCGTTAACTCTGCATTAACCCACCCGTGAGGAGACCTAGACCTGTGCCTGACCCAGGAGCCCGTTTGTGAAAGCAGGGAACACAGTGGCTCTTTACGCTGGCGATGAAGACCAGGAGGACATTCCTAAGATACAGGCATGGCTAATGTCGGTCCTCTGCCCTTTTATATGGCTGGGTGCTCTGGGGAGCTGTTTTGTTGTCCTCTGGCTCTCTGCAGAGAATGTCAGGGCACCTGGGCTTAGATCCCAGGCCTGCACGGGTTGCTCTGCCTCCTTGGCCTGTTTTCCCATCTGTAAATGGGTCCAGGACAAACCATGAAGTGAGGTCACCTAGGCCAAGCACTGCTGGGGGCTGTGACTGGTTCTCTCATCCATCTGGAGAGATGGGGAGAGTTTTAATCCCCATCTTGGAGAATTCTTACAGGAGGGGTCCAGCCCACAGTCTCCCCAGAGACAGGGAAAACCTGTGCCACCCAGGGTCCTCTCCCAAGGGGGTCGCAGATGGGAGAGCAGTGACCGGTGCCAAAGCAAAGGCTCCCCTCTATGTGACACAGAGGTGAGGACAGAGAGCACGGGGGGGGGAGGGCTTCCTGGAGGCAGCAGCCAAGCACTGAGTCTCTAAGACTGAGAAGGAGAGAGACAGACAGCAGGGAGGCTGGGACCTGGAGTGGGGCCACATGGGGCAGGGCTGGGACAGGTCCACGTTCATCTCCAGTTCTCCTCCCAGAGCAGGGTTCAGCAAGCACTGGGGCACTGAGATGACCCGCCCTGCCCTGCCCTGCCCTGCCCTGCCTTCCCCAGTCCTGCAGCCGGATAAAAGCCTGGTGGGTAATAGAAGAAGCCTCTGATACCCACCTAAGACATTAAGGGCACATATCTAAGGCTAGGGACAGTCCCAGGGAGCCCCTGGGCCACGTCAGTGAGACCAGCCTCATCTGAGGGCAACAGGGAGTTACTGAAAGATTTAGCAAGAGGCATTTGACTGAAGAGGGGAGAAGGGGTTGGAAGGGGCTGATCAGGAGGCAGATCAGGGGGAGTAGAGAGGGAGAGAAGCCGAGCGGCCACCTTGGGCCACTCACTGGGACTGGAGAAGAGAAGACAAAAGCATAAACCCAGGCAAGGCTGAAGGGAGAGTTGCCATTGTCTGTGTTTCATGCTGAGAAAACAGGCAGAGCCTAACTAGCCCACCCCACATCACCTAGCTCAGAAACAGCAGCCCTGGGATCCTAATCCAGCTTGATCTGTCACGTGACCCAAGGAAATCAAGAACTCTGCTGCCATTCAGGTCAGAAACCAAATCTGGGGAAACATGAAACCCTCAATTTTGTGGTTCTCTTTCAAGATCATTTTGTCTATGCAGGACCCCTTGAGATTCCATATGAATTGAAGGATGGATTTTTCTATCCCTGCAAACCGTGTCATTGGGATTGATGGGGACTGCATTGAATTCAGGGGTTGTTTTGGAGAGTAGTGTCACTTAACGGTATTGCCTTCCAATCTATAAACATAGAAGACATTCCATCTTTATGTCTTCTTTCTTTCATCACTTTCTGATGTGTGGGGTGGAGGGGAGGATACGATGAGAATTGGCTCATGTGATTGTGGAGACCGAGAGTCCCACATTCTGCATGCCGGGGACCTTGGAAAGTGTGTGGTATAATTCAGTTTTGAATCTGATGTTCTGACAATCAAGGGAGCCAATTCTGTAACTCCCAGTGTTAAGTTGAAGGCTCAAGAATGGACAGGGGGCTGCTGGTATAACTCCCAGAGTCCAAAGATCTAAGAACCAGGAGCTCCCATGCCCAAGGGCAAGAGAAAATGGATGATTCAGCTCAAGGACAGAGAGAATTTCCCTCCATCACCTTTCATTTTGGCTCCTCAACTGAATGATACATACCCACATTGATGAAGTTGGATTTTCTTAGTCAATCTACTGACTCAAACTCCTGGAAGTACTCTCACAGACACATCCAGAAATGTTCTATCAGCTGCTATGGCCTGAGTATTTGTGCCTGACCAAATTCCTGTGTTGAAAGCTAATTTCAACTGCGGTAGTGCGATAAGGTGAGGTCTTTGGAAGATGATCAGGTCATGAGGAGTTCATCCTCATGAATGGTACTAATGCCCGTAGAAAAAAAAAGCTGAGGGGACTCGTCACTCTTTCCACCATGTGAGGAAGCAGAAATACAACACCTCCTATGAAGCAAAGAGCTAGTCCTCCCAGACTGTGGATCTGCAGGCACCTTGACCCTGGGCTCACCAGCCTCCAGACCTGGGAGCAGCCTGAACGGACAAAGACCCAGTCAACCTGACACATAAAATTAACCATTACATCCATCCTGTCAATCTCTGTCTTTTGACTGTAGATTTTGATCCATTTACACTTAATCGTAATTACTGAAGTAATTACTGAAAAGGAAGAATTTACTTCTGACATTTTGCTATTTGTTTTCTATATGCCTTACAGCTCTTTTTGGTTTGTTTCTCGTCTTCTATGTCACTGTCTTGTTTTGGGCTTAGTCGATTTTTGAAGTGAAACATTTTAATTCTTTTCTCCTTTTTGCTCATATTCTTTAGATGTTTTCTTTGTTGTTACCACGGGAATTGCCATTAATGTCCAAAATCATAACACTCTAATTTGAATTTATACCAGCTTAACTTAAATAATATACAAAACTTGCCTTCTTCATACTTTTGACCCCTCTCTTTGATATTAATGCCACAAATTATCTTTATGCATTGTGTACTCAAAAACAGACTAATAATTGTTTTTATGCATAAGCCTAGTATTACGATAATACTAACTAATAATTGCCCTGCTACTTACTTTTACCAGAGATCTTTATTTCCCCATCCAGTTTCAAGTTACAATCCAGTAACGTCTCTATATTTCTTGCAAGGCAGATATGTGGTAATGAGCTTTCTCGGCTTTCTCAAGGAATGCTTTATTTTTGTCCTAATTTCTTTTTTTAAAAAATATATTTTTAGTAGTAGTTGGACATAATACCTTTATTTTATTTATTTATTTTTATGTGGTGCTGAGGATTAAACCCAGGGCCTCGCACGTGCTAGGCGAGCACTCTACCACTGAGCCACAACCCCAGCCTCAATTTTGTCCTGATTTCTAAAGGACAGTTCTGCAGATACAGAATTCTTTGTTGACAGTTTTTGTTTTGTTTTTCTTTCAGTGCTTTGAATATATCAGCTAGATGGATATTTAACCTTTCTGAGCATCTGCTTCCAGCTGCCTAAAATCAGGTTAATAATATTTACTTCATGAGTGTTTGGGTGAAGGTTAGATGGGAGAATATAAGCAAAATACCTAAATCAGTGGTGGGAACCTACTAGCCCTTGATCAATCACAGTGAATATAACTCATATCTTCAAATAAGAAAACTAAAGCCCAAGTGAGCACGGTGGTACACACCTGTAATTCCAGTGACTCAGGAGGCTAAGAAGGAGGATCACAAGTTTGAGGCCAGCCTCAACTACTTAGCAAGATCTCTCAAAACTTAAAAAAAAAATTAAAGACTTTGGGATGTAACTCAGTGGTCAAGTGCCTCTTTTGTCTGCCTCCTATGGCACCATGGTCTGCTGACCCAGAGGCCACCATGACATCTAACAAGCATTCTTGATTTGGCAGATCCTGGCCATACTGAACAATGTCACTTGCCCTGTATACGTGTCTTCTCTGGCTGTCCACCAGTGGCCTCTGGACAATCCAGGCTGAGGACCCCATTGCTGCTATAAGCACGAAAAGCCCTCACCGGGACCTGGCTCCAATCAATGCTGATTTTGCCTTCAGCCTGTATAAGCACCTGGTGGCCTTGGCTCCTGACAGGAACACCTTCATCTCCCCAGTGAGCATCTCCATAGCCCTAGCTATGCTGTCCCTGGGTGCTGGTGGCCACACACGGGCCCAGCTTCTGCAGGGCCTGGGCTTCAACCTCACGGAGACATCTGAAGGTGAAATACACCAGAGCTTCCGGCACCTCCAGCACCTCCTCCGGGAGTCAGACACCGGCTTGGAAATCACTATGGGCAGCACCTTGTTCCTTGACCACAGCCTGGAGCTGCTCAACTCGTTCTTGGAAGATATCAAACACTACTATGGGTCAGAGGCCTTGTCTGTGGATTTCCAGGAGTGGGCTGGGACCAGCAGACAGATCAACGAGTACATCAAGAATAAGACCCCGGGGAAAACGGCAGACGCATTCTTAGACCCGGACAGCCCGGCCATCCCCGCCCTGGTCAGCTACATCTTCTCCAAAGGTACCGCCTCCTCGTCCCCTCTGACAAACCCTATACCCAGGGCCAAGAACAGCAGCAGCCATCAAAATCCACTTTGGGGCAGAGCCTTTGAATTCCCCAGTTCACACCTGGGTCTCCATCTTCACCGCAGGTGGCTGGGAAGATGGGATTATATCAT